TGTGTGCAATCGGACAAATGCATTTTCTTTATTCAGACTCAGAATAGAAAGAGAGAAAATACAGACGATGGATGCGAGGATGCTTTAGTCATTTAAAGATGCTTTTCCTCTGCAGTGGTTACACAACACACACACAAACAGAACAAAGTGAAGCCCCAGCATCGCTTCTCATTTAAGCTCCTCTAACAAAACTCGTCTCACTTTCAGAAGAACTGCAGAAGAATCAAAGAGTTGAATGGTCTTTGAGCTGAGATGTCACTCACAAGCTTTTAAATTTGACCAAATATTCGAAAAAATGTGTCAGAGGTTAGGAGTGATGAGTGTGAGAGGAGTAACGATGGAGCAGCAAGCGACGTTTAATGACTCGTAAATTTAAAAAGCATCACTAACTCACAGGTTTACAGCTCAGCTTCCACTTTAGGTACGGCTCATTAAAGGAGCTCCATTCAGACCACCTTAAGAGCCTGCTGATCTAACAAATGCAAAGCCTCCATTCCACCTTAAAAGACAAATGGCACATTGGAAACTCTCACTGATTCCACTTTAACTGAGAAGCATCTGCTCATGCTGCCTTAACACATGGCTTCACAGAGAAAACTCTTACCACCTTAAAAGAAGTGTTCACACAGCAGGAATGTAAGTTACTCCATACCGCCTTAAACCCAAACACCATCTGTCTCACCTTAATGGAGATAATACAGCTATAAAATCTCTCTCATGTCACCTTAAGTGCCGAAAAACAGCCTTGTTCATACCACCTTAATAGATAATAAAAAAAGAAAAATCAGAGTTTGAGGGAAGAAAACTTTATTGAAACCTCAGCTTTTTTTTGTGTGTGTCGGCAGGAAGTTGGCGAAGAAGAGGAAGGAAACTCTGAGCTCCAGACAGGAAATGACCTTGATGGTGAACAACTCCCAGCACACCACCATGGTGGACACGCATGTGCACACGCTGAACGGACGCAGTGAGTACATGCACGCGACGCACACAAATGCTATCGCTAATCCTATCTCTGACAAGCGGGTGAGACAAAGACTTGAGTCGAGTCGCTCGCCCACAGGTCGCACAGACGACGCAGACTGATCTGCAAACGCTTACCGAGTCCACACGTTTTCTTTCAAAGTAAGATCATTTCGCTGATGATTCATGACGTGATAATCCCGTATCTAAACGATAGCAGTGAGTCGTGGGAGGAGCTCAGGCTGTGGTGTGGTCGGTCATTCCATGACTTCGTGTTCTGACTCGGTTTCCACGGCAACAGTGAAATCCTATGTTTTTGCTGCGTGGCTTAGGACGCCGACCAACCTGAAAGAAGACAAGATCAAACCCAAGCAGGTGGCGTCCTTCCTGCCGTGAGCTGAAGGAGGCAATGTTTTATCGCAGCGTTGCGGCCGTCAGAGGGCGAGGCGGCACCCTTCTCCCCAGGCTCCTCTGCTCGCCGTCTTCCTCTTTATTCTGGAGCATGGCGTGCAGCTGCGAGTGCCTCCCTTGAGGAGACGATTTAAATTAAGCACAGACATCAAACACCACAGACCCTGAAACCATGTCTGCTTACAGGAGCCTCTGATTTAATTTAACCATGAGAGTCTCAGGTGTGTAACTGCGCCCGAAAACAAGGAGGTCAGTCAAACGTCATCTTTGGATCAGTCAGTAGACGACAACAAGGGAAGAGCTGCTCACAACAAACCAGGCTAACAGACCTCTCCTCCAGCATCATTCTGGTTATTAAGTAAAGCTAAAACTACAAACCAGTGTAACTGAAATAAAAAGTTATGCTCTTTATTGATCTGCTCAAATCTTCCAGACCAAAGATCCTGAGAAGGTTTTGGTCCATCTGTGTGCTCAGACTGAGACGACTGAAAGTCTGTGGCTTTACGACCACAAAAGGAAGACTGTCTGAAACTGAAATCATCTAATACAATCAGAAAAGATTCAAGTGACAATAAAAAATTATAAAAGAAGTGCTGCAAATCTCTAGTAACTCTGACTTTTATTAAAGTAGAAACCCAGTGTTCATTAAACAACTGAGCAACAATTTCAAATCATGGGTCAAACTCCAGGTACAAGTGATTCATAAAGGAGTACTGAGGATTACAGCTGTGGTCTCTGCAAACAGTCCTAACGCCCTTCTAACATACTGCTAACATGCTAATGCCCTGCTAACGCGCTGCTAACGCGCTGCTAATGCCCTGCTAAGCTGTTGCTAAACGGCTGCTAATGCAATGCTAAGCTGTTGCTAAACTGCTGCTAATGCGATGCTAACATACTGCTAACCAGCTGCTAACCAGCTGCTAACATACTGCTAATGCCATGCTAAGACGCTGCTAATGCCCTGTTAACCTGCTGCTAACGTGCTGCTAATGCCATGCTAACATACTGCTAACGCGCTGATAATGCCCTGCTAATGTGCTGCTAATGCCATGCTAACATGGTGCTAATGCCCTGCTATGTGCTGCTAATGCCATGCTAACATGGTGCTAATACCCTGCTATGTGCTGCTAATGCCATGCTAACATATTGCTAACGTGCTGCTAGTGTGCTGCTAACACGAATATGAAGCAATAATTAACCATCACTGAGACTTTCCTTATGAAGTTGCAGGCGGGGCGATGGGTGAATCAGTGACTGTAAAATGGAAGAAGCAGGAAACTTTAAGTCTGCGTTTCTGTTTCCTCTATGCAGCTGTTTCATCTCCGTCCTCCTTCACCCTGAAGACAAACACCATCAGCACCTCCGTACCAAACTCCTACTACCCAGGTAAAAACACTGAGATGCCTCCTGTCGACATAAGAACTGCTGTCAGAGTCGCTCTGTCTGGTCTCGATGTAATGTTTTCATTTGTAAAAGGAGGCAGACTGTCTCAGACTGTCTCAGATGTGCAGCAGGGACCAGTGTCCACCAGATGCATGAAGATCGATGCTGAACAAGCAAACAGTCACTGCAGGCACTTACTGCACACCAGCAACAGTTCTTTGATGAGTCTCAGAGACACGTCTTCCACTGTCGGCTGTTTTTACACTGCTTCATCTGCATGAGCCTCCACCTGCTGGTTCCTCTCCTTACACCTGTACACAAAAATGCCACACAGATTCTGAGAGGCATTTGGACGACGATCAGTCCCTGTGTGCTAATATTAGCATTCCCCAGACATCCATCCAACAACACTAACATTTAGATTGACAATAATTCATTACAATAGTGGGGATTCATTACAGTAGATGTCTTTCTCAGCTCGATGTAACTAAATTAAAGGATGCAGTTCCTCCACTCTTACCTTCTTCAAAGCCTTGTGCCAACACACTGCAGAACAGCTACCTAACGCTACTCATCTTGACTCATCTTGTTAATAGTGTTATAGCCTCATTGGGTACAACTCTGGATACTGTAGCTCCTATGAAAAAGAAAACCTCAAATCAGAACTACTTGACTCCCTGGTATACCTCAGATAATTCAATTCAATTTTATCTGATAAGCACATAACTCGTAAGCTAAACATGTTCTGAAAAGTTTATCCGAGGCTGGGTCTCAGGGCCAGCAGCCAAAGAAGATAAGGCCAGACCTCACTCTCCCCAGCCACCTCCTTATCTGGGGAACACAGAAGCCAGCCGAGAGACGCAATCTCTCCAGAGTAGCCTGGGTCTGCCCCGGGGCCTTTTCTCGGTAGCAAAAATCCAGAACACCAGGAGGCGCCGAGGAGGCATCCTAGGGTGCCCGAGCCACCTTAACTGGCTCCTTTAAATCTAGAGGAGTAGTGGCTCTACTCTGAGCTCCTCCTGGATGGCTGAGCCCATCTCTATCTCTAAGGGAAAGGCCAGCCATCCTCTGGAGAAAGCTCATTTCCACTTGCATTAGCGACCCCATTCTTTCAGTCACTACCCAAAGCTTGTTACCATTGGTAAGGGACGTAGATCCACCAGAAACACTCAGCTTTTAAGCTTAGCTCTCTCTTTACCATGATGGACTGGTGCAGCTCAGTCCTCCCGCTCCCCTCACTCGTGAACAAGAACCTGAGATACTTAAACTCCTCCACTTGGGGCAGGAACTCGTCCCTGACCCGGAGTGGGCACTCCACCCTTTTCCAGCTGAGGACCATGGCCTCAGACTTGGAGGTGCTGATTTTCAGTGTGAGCTGGAGGCCACCACCTGATGAAGACAACAGAGCCCCCATCATCTGCAAAAAGCAGTGACGAGATTCTGACTCCACCTGAGTAGAAGTAGTTTGGCTACACCCGGATATTTTGTCAAAAAAAATCGGTGACCAAGCTGACAATGTGGACCAAGCTCTTTCTTGTATAAGGACCAAATAGCTCATTGCAGTGGGCCAGACACCCCATACTCCAAAATGCCTCCCAAAGCATACTCAGAGGACTTCTCCAAGTCCACAAAACGCATGTAGACTGTGGGCACACACCCTTAAATACCCTTGATAGGCTAAAGAGTAAACCGCATATTTATTCTTTCCCCAGGAGGCTGAAGAGTGTGATCCCCCCCTGCAGATATTAAGGGTGTGTAACTACTGTAGTGTGTACTGTGCAATAGTACACACTACAGTAGTTAGGAGTTGTACAAAGATATCCACGGGAAGGAATCATTTCCTGTGTCGTTCAGTGGTGCATTATGGGTAATCTCAGTCTCTCACTGAACATGTGACCCTCAACCTGCTGCCCCAGCATGCAGCACTGTAGAGGACAGCACTGACCACAGCAGACTCACAGAAAATCCTGAGCATTGTCTGGTAGATGTTGCAGACCTCAACTGCCTCTGAAAACAGAGTCTGGCCCTTCCTGTAGCGTGCACTGGTGTTTTTAACCCAGTCCAGTTAGTGTGTACTCTGAGGTATTTACAGGTCTATCCACCGTCGTCCCTTCCCACCTTGTCCAACTTACCACCAAGTTGTAACGGCTGCCATTTTCCTTGTGAGTATTTATTACACGGCGTGCTGCGGGGAAAAGCCTGTTCTGACGTTTGAGTCTAAGGTTCATTTGGAGCACCGTGAACTCTCTCCACACTCTGTCACGTCATTCTTGAAAGAGAGGTTTGCCATGTTCGAGTCTGTAGTGGGGCCTCGTTAGTGCCATCATTTGCATAGTACAGTTTTCTGGTCCATGTCAGACTGTTTATAACCAAACCATGTTCATGCAACAGAGGTGACCACTCCTTTATGGTCCACCATTTGTTTGGACTGCTCCTTCTGTTTGAGCTAACTGGTTCTGCCTCGTCTTCACTGGCCATGCTGGGATTTTCTGTGCCTGCATCCACATGTTGACCAAAGTGGATTTTGCGACACCATGAAACAAACGATAGAGTATAATATAAAACGATTTTAATTTCATCATCCGATATATTTCGTCATATCGCAAAGCCCTACATCTCAGCCTCTCTCATCGCTCGAGTGTCCAGGACATGTGGTCGTAGATCTGATGATATGATTACACAATCGATCATCAGCCTGCGTTGAGGTGAGCTGGATATATATCTAGCTGGTGCATCTCAACCTCGTTCACTAGCTCAGGTCCTTCCCCACCAGAGAGGTGATGTTCCACATCCAAGTTGCCATCCTCAGGAGCATTGATTGGTCTGGCTTGGCCGCTTGGCCAGCACCAAGTACATACTGCACCCAACCCCTACAACTCCTCCTATGCGTGGTGGGCCTAAAGGGGGATGGGCCCATGTCCCCTCTTGGGGCTGCGCCCAGCAAGGGCCCATGAGCTAAGGGCTGGCCACCAGGCACTGTGTCTTGGGCAGACTCTCCACGCCTGCCTCCAGGCGGGGCCCTGGTAACACGCAAGAGTCTTCTGAATGGCTCTTTGTCTGTGCCATGGTAGACCCTACCAGTGGGCAAAAGCCCCCCAGCAACATAGCCCGCAGGATCCCTGGGACACACAAACCCCCTCCACCATGATAAGGTAGAAATTTACATATTTCTTCAATCTAGCTTCAATCTAGCATTTCCACTTTAAATTAGATCATCCATCCATCCATTTGCTTCCGCTTATCCTTTTCAGGGTCGCGGGGGGCGCTGGAGCCTATCCCAGCTGTCATAGGGCAAAAGGCGGGGTACACCCTGGACAGGTCGCCAGTCTGTCGCAGGGCCAACACACAGGGACAGACAACCATTCGCACTCACATTCATTCGCACATTCACACCTAGTGACAATTTGGATTATCCAATTAACCTATCCCCACAAGCTGCATGTCTTTGGATGGTGGGAGGAAGCCGGAGTACCCGGAAGGAACCCACGCAAACACGGGGAGAACATGCAAACTCCACACAGAAAGACCCCGGCCTGATGTTGGAATTGAACTCAGGACCTTCTTGCTGTGCGGCAACAGTGCTAACCACCGTGCCACCGTGCTGCCCTAAAATTAGTTAGGGCAATTAGTTAACATTTATCCAGCAGTCAGCCAACATCCAGCTGATGCATTTTAACCATTTAGTCAACATTAACTATACTCTCAACCAACATTCATCTACCACGAGCCTAATATTATCCTGACAGCTGGTGTTCACACATTAGTTAGCCAAAATTGAGCCGATGTTTTGCCTGCAGACATGTAGCGAGCTGACTGGTCTTCTTCTTCTTTTTCTCTTCTTCTTTTGTCCTGTCTGTCCATCTGTCTGTCTGCTGCTGTGTCCTGATGGCAGATCCCTTCGTACCGACAGCCATTTTGGGTGAGACACCTTTCCTCTGTTTCCTCGGTTTCCTCTGTTTCCTCGATAGGCCAGATGTGCACAGGTAGACAGACAGGAAAGGGACAGTCAGATGGTAGGAAGTGGACAGAGCTGAGGCCTAGAATAGAGAGACAGGTGAGAGGAGACGAGAGACAGAAGGACAGATATTCTGACTTTCATCCATCCCTGCTTGCTTCTCGTTCGGCTGCTTTTGGTTCTTTCCTCCTTTTGGAATCTTGTTTTTGTTATCTTGTTCCTTCATCTTTTACAAGTACGATTTTGTTTCAGATCATAAAGTTCTTATTTATACTCTTCTTTCTGTCAGTTTGTATGTTTTTTAGTTTAATTGATTAAAATATCATTTTTTATTTGCCTTTATATTAAATTAACATTTATTTTATTGTTATTTTCCTTTCATAATGGATTAAATTTGTGCATTTATCTGTTTTGGTTTTGTTGTTTTTGAAACTTGATGGTGGGCTTCACTCCATCCCCGCATCCACAACATTCCTGCGTGTTGTGTTGACGTCACGTCTGTCTGTGACTTCCAACCTCTGCATGGGCACAACACGCCACGTGGACTGGGGGGAGGAAAACCAAAAGTTTATATTAATAAACTGATTATTTATTAATATATTATTATATGTGATGTGAACATTTACCCAGAGTCTGGCTGCAGCTGAGAAGAATCCTAATCCTCGGCTTCATTTTTGTCAGTTATTTAAAATATCAGAGGCTTGGCAAGTGACAGATTTATTCAGTCTCAGTTATCTCATTGATAATCACTCATGCTATCAAGAGGAACTAAACACAAATGTAATTACCACACCTCGTGAGCACACGTTTTCTGTGGATGATCCATATCTTTGAGAACTTTCGCTTCTTCAGCTCTTCAGTGTTTTTAGTCTGTAAATATTGATACGCACGTTGTAGGCACGTCATTATTTCAGATCACAGAAATGAAAGCAGCCGAGCTCGGCTCACAGACCTTGTATACTTTAACCTTCCTCAGATTTAACCTGAGATTTGCTTGGCTCTTGGGAAACAAACGGTGGTTGTTTTACTGTAAACACTTGCCCAGGTGTATCTGGTAGTTAAAGAACACATGGAACACATATTCTCCAGCTCTGTTTGGGACATGTTGTGGGAACCTGTCAGAGAGTCTTTCTGTCCTTGAGCTGTGATTAGGGCTGTGGTCAAATTAAATCGATAGTATCTCTAAAGGATTTTGACTAGAAACAGGTGACGTTCTACCCAAACGCAGTGTGAGGGACAGGAACATCTACATGGGGAACAGTGGACCCGGCTCCAAGTTTCAGTGAAACTTCTGCACTTGATTCAGCTAAGCCAGCTAAACGTCCACAGAATAGAAGGCTATTAGTAAGCACTGTTTCATAAATTCCCCTTTTCTCCTCTCTCCTCAGGCTAGCTAATCGGTCTTCAGGCAAGGGATGCTGACGTTAGCCAAGGCTACCAGTCCTGCACTCAGGGTACAGTTAGCAAGGGTAGCTAGGTTACCCTAAATGCTAGCTGCTACCAATGCAAATAGAACTACTACTAGCTGTTTGTTTGATTCATGCTGGCTGTTTGTTAGCAGAAGGTTAGCTTAAGAACAGGCTAAAGCTAAATTTGTTGCCTAAACTCTGTCTCCTCTGTCTTCTTCTTCTTTTCTATCTTTCTCTTTGTAAAGTGCCCATTAATGGTAAGTGGTTAAATTTGGGGCTAAAGGGTGGGCTCATGTTGGGGAGGGGTGTCTGTCACCACTGAGCATGGAGCCACACCCACCACCGCTGTGACATCATCAGTTAGCGTGGCAATGACGCATTTTTTTACCGTCTGTGAGATTGTGACGCTACAACCCCCAGCTCCTCCCACCATGTAACCTTGAATCAATCAGCTTCTAGCTCTGCATCTCTTTATCTGATTGGTTCCCTTTTTTGTCATAGTGGTTGTTTTGTCCATTCAGTCACAACTCGCCACCTCCATTACATCACCCATCTTCTCGGCCTCACCATACCTGATTGGGCTTTAAATGACAGAGAGTTCCTGATTGGTCAGTCAGCCCCCAGACTAGCCAATAAAAACAGAGTTAGAGAGTATAGTGGAAGGTATGTCAGCCAAGTCTTTGCTGAAATGTTCACATCAGAGTCCTGGACGTTTCTGAAGAGCCAAAGGTTGATTAGAAACCAGTTTACCAAAAAGGTTTGTTCATTTCCAGGACTCTGAACTTTCCTCTTTTCACACCGCAGCTCCAAGAACCTGGACCAACTCTAGACCAGTACTCAGACCATGCTGTACTGGATCTGAACCAGTACTCAGACCATGATGTACTGGATCCAGAACAGTACTTGATATTACAATTAACTGCAATGAACTATTGAAGAACTTGACATGGCAGCAGTGTGAAAAGAAACCAGCAACAATCACCATCCTCTCTCTAGTCATGTGATCTGATGTCATGTGATCTGTGTGTGTCATTCATTAGTGTTGCTGTTGGCTCCTTGGACAGATCAGTGGCATACTGAAGGAAAGTACAGACTCTGGACAGACTTTGTATGACTTCACTCTTTCAGGCCGTCCGTCAAATTCAGGCTCGATGAGATTGAAGCACCAAGATCACTCTTTTACTGTTTAACCCGGGCGCTAGATTGGTGGCTGCCCACTGCTTCAATGAGTGAATGGGTTAAATGCAGAGAGGACTTTCCACACAGGGATCAATAAAGTATACATTATTATTATTATTATTATTATTATTATTAACCAACACCTGAGCAGTTTTGTAATCTGAGGCAGTTTGTGTTACATCATGGCTTCACCCTGTAGTCTTCTAACAGTCCTGGTGGCTGGTTAAGATGTTTCTGCTGTGTTTAGTACATGAGGCTGAAAGAACAACAAGGAAAACATCTTCACTCTAACATTCAGGGAAAAAATGGACCAACGCAAATAGTGAAAAGCGTCCTTCTGTTCACTGTTGCTTCTATTTTATCCAGTAAAGAAAAACTAAAACCAGTAAGTAACCAACCCATACCAATACATGATCTAACAAAACCAGTCTTTCCACTGATAATACACAGAGTCCAGGTTTCAGTGGCTGGATGTCCGAGTCCGAGTTTTCACTGAGACTTGTTAGAGCAGCAGCTGAAGGTTAGAAGGTTTGACCAAACAAATCAAAGCGGTCTGTGCTTCATGAGGTCAGGACGCTGCGATTGATTGGCTGTAAACACAGAATCCCATTGGTTTGCCTGCTGACGATAAAGTTACTGATGAAAAACACAGAGACAGCGTGACTGTGAAAGGAAGTCTGCAGTTTCTAATTCACTACAACTTTGAAAAATCTGTCAGCATTTTAGGATTACCTACCTCATATGCTAAGAAAGTTCTGAACTTGGATCAGTGGAAGCCGGGCCGCTACTCTCAACTGTCAGATCAACAGTTCACATTTTCGCTGCAGATACTGTGATGTCCATTTCCCTGTGGTACAGTAGAGTCGCTCTTATCTTCGCCTCATATCTTCTCCTGTTCAGCTCGATGTCAGCTTCTGAGCAGGAACTTTAATCCTTCTGGTTCATTTAAACTTTATATGCCACTCTGTAGCATTGATGGATTTAATGAGCAGATTCAATAGCAGATCTGTAAATGTGATCGCTGACCTTTGAAGGAATTTAGAAGATTTTTTAAAGGTATTTAAGTGAACATACAAAGTCTGTCCAAAATTAAGCTAAGCTTTAATCAGAACAATTCAAATGTAACCGACACAGAACTGAAACACAGAACTGAAAAGTGAAATTTATCAAGTTCCATAATAAGAAACATTAGAACTGGAGCTAATGTCCTGGTCCTGCCTGGGTCGGTCTGGTCCATCCCAGCTTCATATTTTTAAATGTGTCTGTGCAGCCTAAATCTGATCTGTCCACCCTCTCCCGCCTCTCCTTCTATCCTCCCTCCAGATGACAGCCACACTATGACCAGTGAAACCAGTAGCCTGGTCCAGTCCCACTACAAGCAGCGGGACTCTGAAAGGGAGGCGCTGCCGTATCAGACAGGACAGCTGCACCCGGCCATCCGAGTGGCCGACCTGCTGCAGCACATCACCCAGATGAAATGTGCTGAGGGCTATGGTTTCAAGGAGGAATACGAGGTGAGGACGACACTCTGAGTTTCCTCTTCAGTTTGACAGTAAAAACACTTTTATCCAATCCACAGCTGTGGGGGAGGGGTCAGACAGAGGCAGGTGTGAATGCTGACAAAAGTCGACATAAAAAAGTGTGTGTTTACAAAGTGAAGCCCACAGTCCTGCACGCCTCCATCAGGACCCACGCCTAGACCCCACACCTTCAGTTACACCCACACATCAATAAGGCCAACACCATCAGAAAGATCAGGACCTGAGCTAGTGAATCTGAGCTAGTGAATCTGAGCTAGGGCTGGGCTTGTTTTTTCAGCACAAAGAAACGGAGAAACACCACGACTCTCCGTCAGCCTCCACCTTCATGGTTCTTGGTAGATTTAAAAAAAAAGAAGTCTGTATTTAATGAAATTTTCCAATGCCTGACTAAAGCTGGCAAGGAAACAAAAAAATTGTCTGCAGGTTGTGGAAAATTGTTTATTTACTTCACAGTTTCACTGAGCTGTGAAGTGCTTTTTCAATTCTAGTGGAAACATTCATCATGTTGGTTTGTCAGAATTTGTAGCTTCAAAGAAAACTTCCAAACACTTCCAATAAAGATCCACACCACCAGTAAGACTCACACCATCAATTAGATCCACACCACCAGTAAGACTCACACCATCAATTAGATCCACACCACCAGTAAGACTCACACCATCAATTAGATCCACACCCCCAGTAAGACCATCAGTCAGACCCACAATGCAAGTGAGACCCACACCATCAATTAGATCCACACCCCCAGTAAGACCATCAGTCAGACCCACAATGCAAGTGAGACCCACACCACCAGTGAGACCATCAGTAAGACCCACACCACAGTGAGACCATCAGTAAGACCCACACCACCAGTGAGACCCACACCACCAGTGAGACCATCAGTAAGACCCACACCACAGTGAGACCATCAGTAAGACCCACACCACCAGTAAGACCCACACCACCAGTGAGACCATCAGTAAGACCCACACCACCAGTAAGACCCACACCACCAGTGAGACCACCAGTAAGACCCACACCACCAGTAAGACCCACACCACCAGTGAGACCATCAGCAAGACCCACACGACAGTGAGACCATCAGTAAGACCCACACCACCAGTAAGACCCACACCACCAGTAAGACCATCTGTGAGACCCACACCACCAGTGAGACCATCAGTGAGACCCACACCACCAGTGAGACCATCAGT